TCAAGTTTTGTGCAAAAACGCATGATCGCTCCGGCTCGCCTGGTGCGTTCCAGCCTGGGTTTTTTAAGATCTCCTTTTGTTAATAAACACACGTTTTACGCAACCTTGCAGCAACGACGTGCGCTTCTCGAGGATTCCCCAGTAATCTCTTGTGCGCAAGTCATTTATTGGGAACTGAGCAACAAGCTGGACAAGCTCACCCATGCTTTGCTAATACTTTTGGTTTTGCTGAACAAGAATGTCGGAGTTTCCGGGGTCGCGATTTTTGTTTTCGGGCGGAGGGCTGAAAGTCGCAGAGATTGCGCCCCTTCATTTCAAGCGTAGCCTCATTTGAAAACAACAGTTACAGCGTACGGTCACAAAGGAATTTTCAGCAAGACTTGTATATTTGAGAATGTAGACATTTTTGAAGTCAACGCTCTTGAAGCTTCAGTTCTCCTAACTTTCAGTATGTTACTTGTTCACATTGGGGATTTTGTGAAGCATGTCCAGGAAAAAAATGCGTAGGGTTTATTCAGTTCTACAAATCAGTGTTAAGGCCCATTCAATCGTCAGTTATCCGGAGTGTTTCATTAGCAAATAGGCTTCACTTGCGCTTTTTTGATTTTTTCTTCGGAACCGGCGGAGTCAGAAATGCAGTTTCATTAGCTTTGATGGAGGGGGCGTAGTAGGCGCTTCTGATTTCCTCCGAAGTGCTTGCGCCTGAAATACATTCATTAAAGATGTTGTTTTTAAATTTTAGAAGCTTGGACTGTAGCTGTGTAGAGTTGCAGGTTCCACAAGCGTAATTCTTTTTGATCGGCTCTGCGAAACTTGCAAAAATCGTGTTGCAATTGTCGTGCAAGCCTTAAAGTCTTCGGCCGTCGAAACCAAAGCATTAGAGGTGATTCTTCGTTTTTGCTGCATTCTTACACGTCAATGTACTGCCATAACGAAATGCGCTGAGCAAAAAAATGCAATTTTAGAGAATGAGTAAGACTCTCATTTACTCATACACATAACTCGAGATCGAGTGGGGAATTTGAGCTCCTTGATTACCCGCTGCAAAGCTGGAAAACCGTGTAAGTATGTCTAAATCCAGATTAATTACCTAAAATCATTTCGCAATATACACGTCTTGCCGTAATAAGTTTTTGCTGTATGTAAAAACGCATCGAAAAAGGAGGATCGTTGTAAGCGTGTGGGTTCGTGAGCCTGTCATAGTTTTCCATATTCTCAGCCAGAAAGACGGGGAGAGTTATCCTTTTACCTCAAATAACTCAGGAACTTAATATCAGCAATTTAAATTCGCTAGATCTCGGTTATAACTTAAAATATATTCTGTGCACTAATTTTGGATTTAAAGGACTAGTAGGGTTGGGAGGCTAGACATATTCCTAATCCACTTGTCACTTGTATCGTAAAGTCCACTTCTTGTATCTCTGGCTTCTGACCTTTAGTCCCTTCATTTCCCTGTTCTCCAAGATGCAAGTTTTTCTGAACGCGAGCAGTCTCATATTTAAACACTCAATTATTTCACGATATTTGCAAATCTATCACGAGACAAATCATTGGGTATTATTTTACGGCGGCTGGACGTATTTTCTGTCTTAATTGCGAGATCGCGGGATGCAAGGAGGCAACACAACTCCCAAATTACCTTTGTTATTTCAAGCACTCGAAGAAAAATGAAAGCTAAGCTAGAATTTTGCCACCATTGTTCTTGATTTACTGGCGGATTAAGTGCCTGGAAGCTGCTTTTTAACATTTACAACTCACTGTAGCTTACACTCTCGTACCCGTTTCGATCGGTTAGCTACAGACATCTACTGCGCAGATTTTACAAAAAAAAAAAAACGCATGCTCGAGCCGGTTCATATATGCATCCCTTCTGTGTTATATTGAAAACAACTGAATGCAACCAACCAGCCGGTGAGTCGGTTTTAGTCGATCTCTTATTATAAATCAGTCGATGTTCATTGGGGCCTAGAACGTATTCTTCTTCCACACGGATCGATTCTTTTTCCGTCTCCGTTTTTTCACCAAAGATTCTTGATTCACAAGCACCTGCGGCAACCATGTCACTATCCTTTCCTTTTAGCCAGTCCATCTTCTCCGACTGGAATAACACTTGTTTTGACCTCTGACCACCTTCCATGTGTCTTTGTTGGAAGCATTTATGACTCTGAAACGTACCTTAAAATTGCCTTTTATAATGGCATTGCGGAAAATGTTCTTCATGAGGTGGTAGTCCGGACATGTCTCGTATTGATATGTGCCCAGCTGGCGCAAAATTCTGTTGGTAGCGGGTGGAATTCCGTCGCAGTTCTTAATTACTCTTTGGAAACCTGCAATAACAAAAATACTAAAAAACGTCAGTGGAAGTAATTAGGTTAAGCTAACCAGGCCAGACCAGGCCAAAAGAAGCAAAGGTAAGCTAAGCTAGATCACAAGCGCAATAGCAGTAAAGTGCAAGCGCTTTTACTTTAGGAGGTTAAGCGTACCCGTAGAAGTCAGGAAGTATTCTTTCCTTCTGAGAACTTCTTCACTGTTCTTTTCTCCTGCCCATGGGAGCGGCGTTGATGACAGGAAGAATTCCACGAACATATAGAACCAACTCTCCACGTCATCTTTGCGTGAACGTTCTTGTCGTCTGTGGCTCGCCCTGGACATGTACCGGATATGGCCCATTTGTACCACTTTGACGCGTCTTTTTCTGCAATCCGATCTGTCTTTTGCTACAAGCACAAACCTTACAAATTTTATATTTATATACACGTATACATATATATGTGTATACATATATATATATACATATATACATACATATATACAAGCCTAATTTGTAACATGTAACGCCTATTATGAGGTTTTAACACTAGTCTGGAAGTGTTGATGCCACTATTCCCAAATGGCTCTGGAACTGAATCATCAGAAACAGCCGCATATACAGTTGCAGCAGACAAACATTCGCACGCTTTATTATGCGAATGCATGTAAAAAAAGTACTGAATTATGCTAATGAAGATAACTTTGATCAGAAGCTTCAAAATCATAAAATTTGCAACCAAAAAATTTTGTTTACTTCGGCGCTTTCAGTAAGTTGAAAATTCAGATATGCATGCACTGTATGCGCTGCGAACGACTAGGATCGGAGGGGGAGCATTTCCAGAACCAACATTGTTTATGTGTATCAAATGATAAGCCAAGAGATTCGGTGACAATATTTAGAAATCTGAAATCGTGTTGTACTCATCTTACGAAAAAGGCTGATGCTTACACAGTTGTTTTGCCAGTCGCCTTATAGCGGCGAGCGAGGCCAAATCCGACGAGATACACATGCGACGCATCAGCTTCCAGTCCGATCGCGTATGCCGACGGCTTGATGTCTAAAATTTTCGCGTTTGTGAACAGCGCTGTTAGCAGTAATGATTGCCTGAAGAGCGTTTTTTATGATCAGCGGGGAGGGGAGCGGCAGAGTGGGCGGAGCGATAAAAGCCACTGACCGCGATGAATATAGCCGATTTTGTGGAATTCCTCGATGCATTCAATAGTCAAATATGTGAGCTTCAAATTAGTAGAGACGGTAAAGCCTCCAAGTCGTGCTCGCACATCTCTGAGTGTTTCGCCATACTGCAAATTATCTCTTAAGAAAATAATGTTAATCATTATCGAGTTGACGCGCACCAGTCAAATGAGATAGGTGCATAGCCTGAGAAGATGGGTACCTTCAACCATGGGTACTTCTACTCATCATTAAATCATTTTTGAAGGTTTTTACTTGTAAATA